TGATTTGCGTACTTATCATTGGAAGAATGGTGAAATCATATTGGATGGTGATTTGCTCGCAGGAGTGGACCCAGATGAACTGTGGGATGATACATATATTCCACGCGAAAATGAATACAAACAAAGCAATGAGAATCTTCATAATGAAAAGATTGATCAAGATGAAATTGATGCTTTACTTGAAGAAGCGGAAGAATTCATTGAAAACTATGACGATGAACACACCAAAAATGTTGAAGAACAGACAGAAGACAGGAGTGTTGCAAGTATTTATGAACGATTGAGACGGAGAAATGATGATGATAATTCCGATCAAAATCCCAATCCAAATAACAAATATCAGAATGATGAGGATTTAAATGAAAAGATTCAAGAAATTGAAGAAGACATTCAACAAGACAAAGAAGATGTCGAATCACTTAACGATGAAGAACAAATCAAGGAAACACGCAAAACATATGAGGAAAATGACAATTTAATTGATCGAATTCAAGATGAAATCAAAGAATGTGAAAATCAAGTCAATGATGTTCGCAAATTTGTGGCAAATTTGGATGACAATGAGAATGAAAATGATGAATCTGACGATAATTCGGACGAATCAAGTGACGACGATAATTATGGAAATGATGAAGTGAATAAACAGGACATACTCAGTCCAAGGAAAACCAGGAGTGGTAAATCTTATGTTCAAGATGGAATAAAAATGAGACCAACCGAACGTAACAATTGAGATCGATCAAGGTATAATCAACAATACCTAAATTGAAAGAAACCCAAGTCAATTCGTTAAAGAACAGGAGTGCGATGAGAAAAAAGGAAAAAGTCAAGAAATTGAAAGGTTATTTGAATGAAATAATTTCAATGAAGGAAAATTTAAGGAAAAGGATTCCAAAAGAAGAGTCTAAATACAATCTACTATTCCAACAGGTTGGAAGTGACAAGAAAGCCGAATATGGAAAAGATAAGGCAACTCTGATTGCGCGATTCATGCAACAAATCAAGGATAAAGTTCAAAATG